TGTCCTCGTGCTTAAACGCTTCTTTGAGCCATTTTTTTTTGTACCGCGGCACTAGCAGCGGGCGGATCTGTCAAGTGTTTCGCTAACGTGGCCCACTTTGTGTGGGTGTGGGGTTCAGTTGCAACGGACTCGCGCTCGCAGCTTGTGCAATTTGCATGCTAGAAGCAATTTGCGGCTGATCTTCGGACTCAGGAATGCAAGCTTGCCGAAATTTTAAAACATTAAGCCATTATAACATGCCCATAGCATCTACAATGAGTGTCAATGAACCCTAAATCTCATTGAATGGCCGTTTTTATCGACAATTTTAGTGGGGAAAATTCTTAAGAATCTATGGCGCGAGCACCCAAATCTGTTAACATTCAAAAATGAACAGTGCGATGTCACCCATGCAGGTGACAGTACATATTGTGAAAAGAAACTAGTGGTTTCCTGAACACACCTAACTTGTATCGAGTGCATACAATGAAAACAATTAGCAATCAAGGACGCTGCGTAGGATGATAATTGAAGCAGGTGTGCAGGGCGTATTTTATGTTGATGCCTTCCGTTCAGCTCCATAGATACTACGCTAACATCAAAAATTACCACGATTAATCTTTTAGATTTCGGTCCGGTACAGCCGGCTCTTTAAATCCTAATCAGCCTGACAATCTGGCATTTCAAGTTTTCCGAGCAAATTCGGCCCGTTTGGGCTAAACGAATTAAAAAATCCATCCCAATCCGGGCTCAGCTTTCTGTTGTCGTCATAAAAAAGCTATCATAACACACCACCACCATTTTTAATTATTTCCCATTAACTCACCTTATCACCAGCATTCTGAATGACTACAAAAAGCAGGAATCAATAGGTCAGTTGGGAGTGTGTTGATTGGCTGCAGGAGTGGTACTATTTAATATACTATTTAATGAGCTACCTGCTTTTTAAAATAATGTAGCCCCCGCCTCGATTAAGTTTGGTGTCGGGGACAGTTCGGAGACTAAATATAAGTATATGGGTGGGACGTACCTTCGGAAAATGTAACACCTTAGCTGCGTGCACTTCCGTGCTTTAGCGCATATATTCGCAAATGATTTGGCAATGGCAAGATGTTGGAAGGCTAGAAGCAACTTACTTTCTAAAGCAAGGGATATCCTGCTTACATTTTCACTATTTATTCATTAATTTCGTAGCAGGTAGACAATGCAAGGTAGCGAAAGGCATGAACATATTATTCAGAGTTTACTGGCATCATGGAAAGGGGAACACAAACAACGCACTGAATCTGATGCAGGTCTCCAATGCCTACTCTTTCCAGCACTAGGGCAAAATTCATGCGTGATGTAAATAGTACAATGTTATTTGATGTATGCAGGATATGTATATATATGCATATCTATGTATATATACACATATATACAAACATATATATATATATATATATATATATATATACATATGTATAAAAGGACCATTCAAACTGCTGCCATTACCAATAATCGAAATAACATCCTTGCGGGCTTGACGCGCTTTTCATAGGATTGTTGCAATGGGGGTTGTAAATCCGTAGTTTTATTTGTAATTCAATCTATTGGCAATCCGATCGACACGTGCATTGCCAAAATTTTCTGATTCGATCCAATCCGCGTCGCGAATCCATCTGCCATGCGCGGACTGGTCCAATCCGCGTCGGGCTCTGTTCAGAATGTACGGCGATTTTGCCCAGAGAAATGCAGCATTTTACACGTCCCGTCCAGACGACCGCGCCTAAGACGATCCCACCGCGAGCTTACCGTCACCAGCCACGGGACGGGTCTCAGAAGCGCGATGAGATGGAGATTACGATCGGGTTCGGAGCCCACGTGCCGCAGCACACACGGCAGAGGCTCGCTGTGCCAAGAAATTGTGAATAATGCTCGGGATCACGTGATCCTGGTTTCATCAGCCTGATGACTGCAGTATTGGAAACAGGGACGCGGTCGGCGAGCGATTGTCGATTCGGATTGCTCGCTTGACCGGGCGGATGTGGCGTATTCGACTATTTCAGAACGTCGGCCTAATTGTCCTCGTTAGCTATGCTTATCAATGGGATGACGCGTGCATCCCGCGAAGTAGTTCAGCGGTCGTGTACTTCTCAGAGCTCCTTATGTAGCAGCCTGCGGACAGACTGCAGCGCGTGGCGACTTTGCGGTTCCCATGGGTTGAGCCTTGCTTTATAGTCCGAAAGGCGTCTCTCATCATTAGTCAGTGGAGGGTCGCTTGCCGTATTTCATTATCACGTGTTGTGTGGTGATGCGAGAGCTGACATTCGGAGGAGGGGCACTAATACAGGCAGGCATCGTCAGCACGAATAATGCTGATTATGACGCCCCAATCAAAGTGGATTAAGCGATAACCGGGGTTCAGATTGGTTGTCGCTGTAACAAGCACGCTTAGTGGAGGTCAGCGCAGGCCATTCCCGATTCTGTAACGAAGGGGAACTGCGAATATTTGCCTCTCATTGGTGCAGGGTCACCTTCCTCGGGGCAATTGACATGTATGAACGCGTGTTATCAAATGTCACACACATTCTGCTTGCCAGTTGTAAGAATCGCCCGCGTGAAGAACTCGCCGTAACTGTCCATGCCTTTCAACGCTATGGTTTTCCATAATATAAGCCGACACAGATGCTGAGGTCTCGCTTATCTAAATTGTTATCGTCATGATAAAGTGCGTCTATTCCAGAGACGCCAGCCGAGGATCCCGCTGCGCGTCTAGACCGACGCTGATATTACCAAAGATGCCGCGTGCAGACGCAGGCTCATAGAATAAACAATGCAGAGGTCGTTAGAGTTCTGTATGTAAATAAAGACGACGGAGGGAACATCATTGCTTTCAAAGCAGAACATTGCCGGTTTTGAATCTGAGTGATGAGTCATTCATCAGAAGTGGATCTACTAGCTAAACAGACGGCGTATCATAGGTTGTGTGGGCTGGCCGCCGTTTTTCTGTTCTATCGCCAATCAAAGTTAAGTTTGCTTTTGAATGGCTGTTATGGACGAAATGACGTGAGCAAAACTGATGACGTAAATGCCAAATGAAGTCGGCCGGTAAGCCAGGATTTAAGTAAGTTGCAGACACCTGTCAAATGAGTCAAGTTACGTAAAGGTCGCGGACCAAATTATAATGCCGACATTGGCGTGGCATGGTACGATATGGTATGGTATGGTATGCTGCCGACGGTAACCGATACCACTCAAAGTCCAGCCCAGTCCCATTCTTGTATTCCAAGAATCCTCTCTGTGCCCACTCCTCTTTCAGACCATTGCCAACGACGTGTCTCTGTTTGTTTGATTGTGTGATTGTGTGAGTTTGATATCTGCAAAAAAAGACTCCCTCCTACAGCCCATTGTTACAATGAAACAGACACTTGAGTCTTTGGGCATCTGGTTCCATTTTCACGGTCTGAAAGTAAATACTAGTAAAACGGAGCCTACTGTCTGTGGTTTACATCAAAATTATCGTGGCACGGCTCCTATTTCTGGTCGGTTTCTGGAGGGCACAACGCACGAAGGCCTCGCAGTGTGGACCTTTGGCGTAGTGTACGACAGACACCTCACCTGAGATTCTCACGTATCTGCCCTTATCAAAAAAGCAACGGTATCCCCATCAGGCTGCCCCACGCGCGTCACCAGATCTTGCCTGACCTTTTGCCTACCCTGGGCGATACCTTGGTCTTTTTACACGTTCGATATCGCCTTGCCCTGGGAGTGGGACTGAAAAAAACAAAATAAAATACTTCCAAAAGGCCTTGAGCTTTGCGCTGCACGTTGTTTCCAGTATGTGAGTAATCACCTAGGCTTGCTTACTGCCTGTCAGCTCTACCAACAGCACTCTATTAGCTTGCTTCAGAAAATACAAGCTACCGGCGAATCGCGTGAAATGTACGCTCATCTAGGTGAAACTTTATGATTATATATACACATAGATATGAAATATATATAAATATATATATATATATATATATATACATCAATATATATATATATATATATATGTATATGAATATATATATATATATATATATATATATATATATGTATATATGTATATATGAATATATATATATATAAACATATATGAAAGAGAAAGAGAGAGAGGGGGGGGGGGAGTGCGTTGCCGCTCACTGGCCATCAGTCAGAGAAATTGCAGGTGAAAATATATTTTTATTCCTTTTAAACTTTTAGAGGAAGATCACAGGCCTTAGTAGGCCTAGTATACATGGTCGGCGGTAGTGATGAAACCAGAAGGTTTCACCATGAGTAACAGGATAATGTTGCAATGAGCGGAGGTCAAACTCTGAAAGCTCGAATGTGGTGTCGAGAATAATAGCACTCTAGTTCGATTGTTGACTGCTGGTTATTGATTGTTGACCAGTGCGTTACATTTGTTTCAAGCCGCTATACAGAGGGAGGCCCGTTTCCTGATGGGAAAATCCTGTGGATTGCCGAAAAGAGGCCTTGTCACTAAAGAGAGATGGTCCTGATGATGTAAGGATGTATGAGATCGAGGGCCAAGTACGTCAAACTTGTAATTATTGCGAAAATAGCTCTTCTTGTCCCTGCTGATCTAGACATATCACGGGCGGTCGAGTTCGTGGTATGAGATCATGTAACGGCAGAATTTCCCCTTTGGAGCCAAATAAGCCCTTGTACGCACGCACACATAGCTATATATTCACATCTGGCATTAATACAAATGGTGCAGCATACATAAATTTAGATTTTTCATGCAATTTTCAGGAGAATCAAAACGTTTTGATGTGGTATCGTCAAATCACAGCCACGAACTCCGGCGCCATTATCTCGCCATTGAAATGTAAAATATCCGTCGGCCTTCTGTCGGGGTATCGTCAGCGTACGGCCGCCCGGCGACACTGAATTTCAACGGAGGCTCGTTTGGCAGCAGGTTCCGAAAGTGTCCGCTAGGGGCGCTAGGCGAACCGCGGCGCCAGCATCGACATTCTGGCCGCGGGCGGCCGCCGGGGCTGACACGGGGGACGCTGATGCGGCCGGGTGCTGTGACGGGTGCCGTGGTGGGTGCCGTGGTGGGTGCGATGCTGCGAGCCGAGGTCGGCTGAGCTGGGTCGCGAGCGTCGGATGCCGCCTCCGCTCGCGGGCCGCCCGTCGCTGCCGTGACTTTCTGCCGACTGAGACAGTGACACGTGACCGCCGACGGCCGAGCCAGTCCACGTCCGTCACGTCACGTCACGTCAGCAGAGTCCGTCAGTCGGACGGCACCCGGCGACGGAGACGGCTGGCACCCGTAAACGCAGAGCGGCAAGCAGTCGGGCGGCGGCAGAAAGCTGAGACTGTGAGACGCTCGTGACAGCAGGACAGCAGACAGTCGGAACAGTGTCAACCGGCAGATATCCGGTGACATTGTCCGAGGAGCTGTGGACAGCGGGGCGGTGCAGGCTGACGCCGCAGATCGTTGACCCGACCCCTGGGCTGGCCCGCAGTGCTGACCGCGACCCCGGTGATATTCACTCTCACTTAATTGCGACAACTGCGCCGCGTCGGACAGCTGAGCTGTGTTTCGCTGGGCAGCGGCAGACGGACAAAACAGTGCTGCAGACAGTTAAAACAGCGCCAGACGGCTGGAGTGGTTGTTTCCAAGGCACAGCAGACAGTCGAGATAGGGTCAAACAACTAAGCTGACTGCACTGGGAACTAGCACTCCGCTGAGTGCCGTCAGGCAGCGGTAGCTATTTAAGACAGCTTGGGTGCCGCGACTGAGGGCATCAGACAGCCAAGACAGTGGCAGACAGGTGTAGCTGTTTGTGGTCGTGACAAGCGATGCCATGATGGCCCGGTGTCTGCCTCGACCGACCCTTCTTTTCGTCGTGTGTTTAAACGTTCTTCTCCATAAAGGTAAGCGCGCAGCAACAAGGGCAAGTGCATGGTTTTTAAGGTCAAGGAACTTGCCGTCTTTGATGGAAATTTGAGTGTCTGCGTGGCGCATGGTACTAAAAAGGTACTGTTTTCTTAGAGATAAAAAACAGTAAGATGACAGTTTGCTGAGAGCTATGAAAGCCACTGACTAAAAATATGCGCACAAAGTAGAACGTGTACAACGCAAAACATGGCGGCATTGTTTTCTTACGCTACGTCGCGAAATGTCGCGCTACGTCGACAAAAGTAAAATGCTGCCAAAATAAGACAAGGGTCGTGGGGCTCTGTCACATCCCTGTGGGGTAAAATCAATTGCTGCAATTCTTTACTTAGGTGTCGTCGACACAAGCCTTCTTTTATGCTGCACACCACCAGATGCATATCTGATCAAACACCGAGTGAACCATGATGGGGGTTTCATATATTATTCTTGCTGTATAAAAAAACATGCAAAAATACAAATTTCTATGCATGTCAATCTTTGTAGGTATTTACGACTTCCAATTGTCGCCTTTCATGAAGCAAATGCGAGAGAGATTTCATCTTTGGCATCATGCTGAGTATGGCGGCTCGTTCAAATTCTCACTTGGCAGACATTTTAGTTATGCTGCTTGAAGATCAACATCTTTCAAAAGATCGTGAATATGATCGTTGTACTCCCCTGAGATGTGGTTAAAGAGATCGAAAGGTGCTAAGTTTAAATGCTCTTGACGAGATGCCATTTAGTACGATTTCTTTAAACATTGCTGCCCACAACATATTTTGGACAATGCTCAGTCGTACACTTTGTCGCAGCCACACAACATCCGAAACCGTAAAGCACAGCACCAGCCAACCTGGCAACCTTGAGGGACGTTTCAACAGATGGACTGGAAACAAGAATCTTGAGGCATGCCACTTTTCTTCCCCACACATACATCTTGAATTACAGCATAGGACGTAAAATTACATTCTTTCGAACTAAAGTTGACTACCGATTTCCGTGCTTAAAAATGCCCGCAGTAATGCGAACTCATCTGTTAGGAAGCTGAGGGGTGATGAGGAAAATAGCTGATGTATTCTTAAGGTTTACATGTTTTCAGCCACATAGCATAGCAGTGCCCATGACATCAGTTGGACAATCTCGTTAAGAATTGTTGATGCTATTACCCTGCTTACTGAGTGCATATGCATACAGAGCATGTAACATTCCAGGAACTGCCATTACCATTGCCGTCCAATAGCCATACACGTGCACGTGAATTTTGCTGATGTTAGTACCTTTAAAACCTCATTGTTAATAGATGTGCTCTGTTAACACATTGTTTACTGTGTTGCCACCAACCTTGAGATGCCTAGTAATTTTCATTGTGAGGCATTTGACTGGCATCCTCTACATTTCGCACGTGCTACACTAATTGTTCTGTAGCAGATGCTGTAATGCTCAGAATCATCTTCCATAAATGCAAGCATAAGATTACGACGCTACCATTCCTTGCAACTATTCGTTTGGTTCAGGCTACTCGTCACTATTTCACGTTTGGCTCAAGCTCCCCTTCACTATCCTTTGCTTCGCGCTTGCATCGTAATTTAAATTACCCCATGAGTCATATTCTGAACATGCTCGAGCCGGAGTCTGCCTTCTCCCACAAGAGGTCTTCCGGCGCCCGAAAAAGGTCATGTAAATAAAAAATAGACGGTTGTAAAAATAGCTCTAGTGTGATGGTGCTTCGGGTTGAAAGTTCGGTGTAGTAGCATCATAGCACAAGCATCTTGCTTTACGGGTGCAAGGCATGCAGAGGAAGTTAAGAGAAAGTCGGAGAATCAGGATATGACGCTTGCGGGCCCCTGAACACATTGAGTTTGATAGACGCGATCATACATGCACCCTCTTGGCATGATCAGGGGTGGCCCCCTGACCTGATCGCTGGCCAGACAAGCGTGGGCAAAATCTCCTGCGGTGAAGACTGTTACATCCTGCCGCAAGTAACATCAGATAAATATGTTATCATTTTGGTAGTTGGATGCGTTTGACGGAAAGATCAAAATCGGAAATCGTTGGCGAACCGCACCAAGCACGTGATGCAATGCGACGATGGGATTACGACGTAAGTGCAATAGTTTCAGGCAGCTGTTTTCGTAAGTTCCTGGTTTAAATGCGGAGAAAACCTTCCATTGTCCCGAATTATCTTACATTACCCTTGTTTTCATACTTCAGCACTAAACCCATCTTAACAAGGGATTAAGCTGCCCAAGTTTTGAGATTCAAGTTAATTTCACCTTCCAGCCTTGTTTTAGTCTGCCTCTGGCTTGACATTCTAGTTTCACTGGGTTTCTCTCAGTTGCAGGTATTTTGACAGAATCATTGCATGATTTGACACTTTCCTGATCATTTTCACACACCATTTACCTATTTATGGTTGTGGTAGTAGTTCAGGCAGGAAATGCAGAGCAAAATATGACGTTTCGGGCTTTGCATTTGCTTCTAAACGTTGGGCACAATTTAAACATTTCTCTCATTACTCAAAAGCCCGCAAGCACGCCACCGCACTACTTGGCCTCATAACGAGAGTGAAAATCCCCCCCCCCCCCCCCCCACCCGTCGCCGCCACCAAAACATCTGACCGTGCTATATGCTCTAAAGGAAATGTGTATCCACGTTTTGCAAGTTACTTAATAAAACTGCAAACAAATTCCAAAACTTAAGGGAGGGTCGTCACCTGAGCGTGAAGCCCCTCGCCGTCTCGCGCGCAAATACCACAGCGGGACAACGAGCGCCAGTGTCCGAGCGCCCCCCGCAGCCGGCACCGTGTCTGTGTCGCCGCCGCAGCCAGACCGGTCACGTGGTCACGACAATCCGGCTGGCGCCGCGGCCGTCTCTTCAGACGGCGTGGGAGGCCGTAAATCAGGCACCCGAGCCGACTGGAGGGTCGCCCGCCGACGCCCGCGAGGCCGGCCGGCGCCAGCGCCACTGCAACTAGAGACCATCCCCAGCGTAATTGGGCGGACGTTTCCACGCGCTGGCGCGGCAGGGGCCCGGCGGCGATCTCGCCGTCCGTGTCGAACGGCGCCTGGCGTTCTGTGTCGGGAGGCGTCTGGCAGCGCATGTGGAGAGTTGTCCCGCAGTCTCTGTCGGGGGCGCTTCATATTCAGTGTCGGAGAGCGTTCCGCAGCCTGCATCGGACGGCGCTGCGATGTCTGTGTCGAGAGGTGCCCCTGCAGTCGCTGTCAGGAGGCACCCCGCAGTCTGTGACGGGGAGCATCCCGCAGTCTGTGCATTGTGTGGCGCTCCACAGCCTGCACCGTAGTGATGGGTGGGAGCGTGGTCTGCTGTCTGTCGGGCCACACTCGTCACACTGTCCCACCGTTACCCCTCACACACACACACACACACACGCACACACACACACACACACACGCACTGTTGTACTGCCACACACTGCCAAATTTTCACACGCTGTCACTGTCCCACACTGTTACACTGTATCACCCACGGGCTTAAGTTGGCTTATTTGTTGTGTACTGATAACCGTGGCGTGACACGCTTGTGCGTGGTCTTTTCTTCGCACCAGAATATCGTCTAAGAAGTGCGTGTACTCACGAGTAGCGCGCATATATCCTAGAATATAACTACCTCGCGCTGCGGGCGCGACATAGGCCTTGCTACGCATTTTTCACCCAATGCCAAACGCTGGTGACCTTCAGTATTCACAGCCTTCCTGTCGTAATACTTACTATGTCACCTGAAAGTTCGACCGCAATGATGGGCATGAGCAGTACATGTGTTTTCACGTCATTCTGACAATGGCTGTGAATGATTTTTTTCGGCTACCCGCTCATTACTTGTAAGCGTACTGAGAAATCATCATGGTCACTTTACAGTGGTGCGCGTCCTCCTTCGTCCACCTCATTGTTAAGGCGATCTTTTCCGTTTTAAACGTCGAGCGTCCCGAGCTGGACGCCATATTCATAAAGACATTGCGTGCCTTGAGAGGCAGCATCGGCTGCGCACTTCTTTGGGTGCCTGTGAACTCAAATATGCTGTGACCTGGGAAAGCTTTTGAAGCCATTGATTCGCCGTCTTATAATATATGAGTCTGTTTATCATCTTTTGCTCTTTTTTACTGCAAGTGTATGCAGTTTCACGCGGAACACGTGAACTCTTTCCCGACGTATTGCGATATGTGATCGAAGGGAAGGCAGAAATCGGCCAAGTTTCGGTAACAAAAACGAGCCATTCGGGGAACGAGATACGTTTAGTTTGCTTCAAACGACGTTGAAGGTGAACGTCCTGTCCAGGCATCGGTTAATTCAAATAGGTACAACAGGTGCGTACGTGTCCATGATGTCATATTCTAATGCTACATAGGAAACGCATGCCTAGGATGTCAGAGTATGGTCTGAACGCAGCATGTGACAAATGTGTTAGGTGCATACTTCTATGACATTTCGGCGTCTCTTTCTTACAACTGCTGGGAATTCAAAGCCAAAAACGAGCTCGTATTGAGGGCCGAACTCGTTGATTGGCGGAAAATCTTCTCATTCGCCTGATATAAGGTATCTAAGAATAATATGGCAACAAAGAACACCAATACGCAACTTCCCGACCTTTTTTGAATTGGCTACGACTGTCGGTGGATAGTTTCGGCTATTCCTGCTAAGTCCTGCCATGTTCGGAGAGATGAAGGCTCAGTGTGCCAGCTGGTTACCAGTGCTTACTGTTTGCCCCGGTGTTGTTATGTGCAATGAAAGTCTAAGGACAGCTGTATCAGTACACCTAAATCCATTAACGCTCTTTTAAAGTCTTGTAAGGCATTAAGGCCCTTCTTAACGCAAAGGGCGAGCAATTAAGTGGGGAAGACCTCTTTGTCGTGGTAGAAGGTTGGCATGGGTATCATAATTGAAAAGGGAATTTTGTATATTACTTAAGTATTCAGGATAAGTAGGGATATGCCAATTTTACCCGTGAGATCCTTTAACTACCTGTACTATGATTCCTA